AAATATCCTAAAACGCGGATATTAATATTACGCGAACACGCTGTAATTGGAAAAGGAAAAAAAAAAAAAAAAAAAAAAAGAGAGAAAAAAAGAAGGATTAAAATACGATTAATACGCGATACAATCCTGTTATAATCGCTATTATTCTCGTATATAATCGTATATACCAATCAGAGTAGATTCACTGGAATGTAAAAATACAGGTTAGTTCCTCCTCTCTGTCTATTTTAAGTATTCAAGTTCGATCGAGGAAGAGAGAGAGAGAGAGAATTCGAATCCGTTTCAATCTTCAAATTTTCCATCGGCGTATTCTCGCGCTTTTCGATTCACCGCGCGTTCCCGCGCGTGAATGAACTTAATGACGCGTTCTCGCGCGAGGTTATGGAGATGCAAAATTGGCGAACCGAGTTAAAGGTCGTCGTCGTCGTCGCGGCTTGCTGAGACGCGAGGCTCATTCCATTCTGGCGGTGGGTTGACTCTCCTCGCGCCTTCGAGCCAGACTCCGGGGCACATTTAAGGATTTGTCTCGGGAAATTAGATTCTCGCCTGACTTGCAGCCTCGTTGCATCCCGCTTCTCCATCCGGATTCTTACCTCCTTCGCAGGGAATTCCTCCCTCCCTTCTTAGCCCCGAGTACTTTTCATCGAGCGTTTGTTCCACGAGGAGAGGCAGGGGCGGCGGGCGGGGGGGGGGGGACGAGGGCACCATGGGGACACCGAGAATTGGACCTTTGTCGAGGTCTCGAGCTAAGTGTTAACGTGCTCGCGCTTGCTATAAGGCCTTAACCCGAGAAATCGAGGAAGGAATTAACCCTCGGGAAATTATCTTCTCGCTGGACTTTGGGAGAACAAAGCGAACATACTGTTTGACACCGTGCTTCCTTTTATCGCTCTCCTCGCCTCGCTAATACGATGATCCTTTCTCCTTTCTCTCTCTCTCTTCTTTCCTCCATTCCCTTCGATCTTTCTTCTTCGTTCAGATTGGTTTTCTTAACCCGCTATTATCGCGTTGATTCGATTAAGGGAAAACGAGAAGAGGGGGAGGAGGAAGAAGGAGATTATATCGTGGAACGTGTAAAAAAAAAAAAAAAAATTAGGAGATGGACCAAAGGTGTTTTTTTTTCTTTTTTATCTTTCTTTCGATTCGAATTGATTTTTGTTGAATTGCGGCAGGATCGATGTTTCTTTTATATTTGAAAAATTGTTTCACTCTCCGGGGATATTTTTAGCCGGGGTAGTAGCAGGAAGAACGCTCGATGAAGAACTGTATTTTTATGATGATGCCCAATCAAGCTTAAACTTGTAATTTTTATCTATAATCGATCGGTTCTCCGATATTTTAAAACTTTTATTTTTCCAAAGGTCCTCGAAAAATTATGCACGATAAACGATCCGAGTTAACGCGCGCACAAACTTCGAAGCGAGCAATTTTTATTCAGGCGTGTCCTAATGTCCCTATACGCCGCATCGTACGACGTATTATTTTTAATGTCGATCTCGAAACTGCCGGTTACGTAATTTAACAACACGTGTAAACCAAAAATATCTATTCGACTAATATAACGACTAATATCCCGAAACGAACGTTCGATGAATTTTCACTTATGCGTCGAATTATTCAAAGAATCGTCTGCGAAAAGAAAATTTCCAGCAGCTTCTTCTCGGTCGAGCGAAAATCCTCTCCTCGCCTTTGCTCAGTTTCCTCCATAATTGCCGACCCATACGTAACTTCACCCCCTACCTATTTACAGCATCGTCCGAACGATGGAAGGAACGAGCTCGTCCTCTCACATAATCTCTCACATAATCTGGAGGATTCGGACGCGCCTGAACCGCGCCTGCGTCACGTCGGCCGGCTCAAAGTTGGCAGCAATGAAGGCAGCTTTCCCGATATCCCGGGATACGTTTATCTGGTGGAGCATGGTAGGGCGAGCGATGGCGGTAGGAAGCAAGCCGGATCGCCAAGGGATCGAAACTTATCTACTTGCTCAACTAGCTGCACACCACCCTTATCCACTCGCGGCAACTTGCCCCTTCTACCCCTCGGCCAACTTCGAGATACGCGTTTCTCAATTCTGTTTCGAGCGTCTTTGCACGCTTGATTACGAGATATCAGTCTCTTTCGTTCCAAGTATCCCTTTCGTTCTATATTATACAATTTTTGCTTACGAATTTTAATATCGATACGCTCGCTCCTTCGAACGATTCGAAAGGAGGTAAAGTAATTTTACGAGTCGAGTCTATCCCTCCAACACCTTCTTCAATTATCTCCATCCCGTGCGCGACAACACCGATGAAACGAACGAGAATTGACGCGATGGAAACCGGGTCGAAAGTTGATACACGGGGACAAAAGGATACGTTCCTTCCTTCCTTCCTTCGCGAAGACGGATCGTTGACGAAGTTCGGTAACACCGTGATTGAAGTCTTGCAACTACGGATATACGGCGGTAGGTTGTAAGACGGTGGAAGCAGAAGCAGTGACAGCGTTGAGCTCTGGATCACTCCTCCTGCATCCGCGTCAAGCCGGGGCTTTGGGGGGGGGGGGGGGAGCCAGGCCGAGGCGGGCGACCGGAGATTACAATGGCATCTACGCCAGATTAGCATATGAATTACGGGGGCCCCTTCATCTACTCCCCCCCTCCACACACACGCACGCGTATCTGTATCCTCTTACGCCCCTCTTTCTTCGCCTTCTCTCGATATACTTTGCCTCCTCCTTCCTTCCCCTTCCGCCCTTTGCACGATTTCCATTCAGAGCCGTTTGAGCGTGGCGCAGCAGCTTCGAGAGGTAGCCGAGGCATCGAGTTGGCCGAATTGCTCGGCTACCTACCCGTGGGCTAGAATCCAACGTTCTTTGGGTTCATGTTTCCGTGAATTTTGGACGAGCCGATATTTGCACGGGTTATTCGCGATATTCCATTACGCGTGCGAGTAGGCCCCTCCTCTCCACGTTCGAACGATTACGTGTAAATGGGGAGGGAGGGAGGGAGAGTGGACGGTTATTTGGATGCATTGGTTTTTTTTTTTTTTTTTTTTCGTATGCGAAATTTGCGAAATTTAATAATATCGAAGAAGAAGGGAGAGAAGAAGGAAGGGGCTTTGAAATTACGAACGTTGATAATTAATTTAATAATAAACGCGTAATAATAGGACCGTCCAATTTAATTGTTTTCATAAAATAAACCGAATTGTCTCATTAGTTAGCTGCGTAGTCGGGGGAGAGAATATCGCGTAAATTGCTTTTATTGACTCGAATTAAGTTTTATTTCATTACATTTGGAAAAGTAAAGTTGGGACGACGAATTGTCGCCGTTTGTTGAAATTCTAATAATTAATTTCGTCGATGATTTTATCTATCGAGAAAATTGTGGACGGACGATTATTTTTTATTGTATCGATTATGAAACGATCGAACGTCGAATGCCCGGTTGTTTGAATCGGCCCAAAGCCGGTAGTATGATATTTCTGGTGAAAATTAAACCGTCTAAATTGTTTCATAAGCATCAATTATTTAATTCTCATAAAAGAGAGAAGCGTGTGTGTGCATTTGATTAAATTTCCTCCCCCCCCCTCCCCCCTCACCAGCATTCATGATTATAAATAGGTACTAATGTTATGCAAACTGAAATTATAAAATTATAATAACCAACTTGAATGGAATTGTTGCATCCATCTGACTTGCAAAAAGTTTTGCAGCGTACTGTACGATCACGTTTTCAAATTTTATACGCGGCGAGGAGGAAACTTGTTTCCAAAATCGCATCGAAACTTTTTAATATTAATAATAATAATAATAATAATAATTTTAATCGATCCAAGAACCCGTTGCTAAATATTAAATTACGGCTCTTTTTACTTTTAATTATTAAGCGTGCATAAGAATATCAGTACAAAGTGGTAATGGTAATTAGAAAATAATTCGATACAAGTTCACCAAAGTCCGTTAATATCTTCTTAAATGCGTTCAACAACTTGCTCGTAGTTTCTTCTCCATTTTAAAAATATTAATCAATTTCGTTCGATCGATTTCGTATTAATCGAACACGCATACATTTCATTTAAATGTACAAATTACTTCCTCTTTCAAACGTTTGTACGTGTACGTATAATATGTAACGTGTAAATTTAAGAGAGGAGGGGGGGAAATTATTAAACAAGAATATAAAATATTGCATCAACATCGATAAGTCTTCGGTTCGATCGTATTTTTTCTGCTTTATCTTCCGCCTACGCGTTACGCAGCATGTGTAAACCTGATAAACCAGAGTCAATTGTTATCTTATTTTTTTTTTTTTTTAGGCCCGACCATCCATCGTTTCCATAAAATTTAGCTCGCGTGGAAGCAAACAAAAAAGGAAAAAAAGAAAAAACGATGGCGAATAAAAATGGTCGGCGTTATTTCGAATGCGAAATTAATAAATAGTACCTAACTCGAAAACGATGCGTGTATTATATATGGAAACGAATTTTTATCTGGGCACGCTTCTCCGTGTTTGCCCGATTGAAAGTTACGTATGGGTTGACAACGTTGTATTAATGCGTGTTATACAGCGAATGCTTTTCCAATTCGATAAAAATATTTCATTGCTCGCTATTAAACCGGTTATTTTTTATCCAACCTTTTGATCGATAACGCAGGGCTTTTGTTACACATCTGTATATGTATATACACATATTACATATATTTTGCGCTACGCATAAGCGAACGCAAATTGTAATAGTTTTCGTTGTACGAAACGCAACCGTTTCCATCGGTGAAGCTTTAACACAGCTTTTAAGAAAAATATTGCAAAATATTAAAATAATTGCCGCGTTATTATTAAGCTTAAATGTTTGTTTACGAAAATATTTTTAATATCACGCGTATTTTTAATATCGATAAAAAGAGAGAGCGACGATTGCATTCCTTTTTTTCTTTCTTTCGAAAAATTCGCGTTAAGATTATCTTCTTTTGTCGCGGTTAAATTATCGTTTATCGACTCGATCGCTTGTCCTTACCTCCGCGGTTTTCACTGTCCGCCGGCTTGACTTGAATAGGACGGTTCATCTGCAACGAGAAAAAAAGAAAAAATAATTCATTAAAATTGCACACACCTCCTCCAAAATGTAAGAAAGAAAAAAAAAAAAAAAGAAAGATTCCGATCTATCGTCTCGTATCGAACAACCAAAAAAAAAAACTAATCACTCGTTCCTTAATTTCAACCACGGACCGTCGATCGATCGATTCGCGCAGAGAGAAAGTAATACGTCCATCTCTCGTCACTTTGCCTCTTGTTTAAACACCGCCCTCTGTCGTTGACAGGTCCGATTGTCAGAAAATAAAGGTAGCGAGTGGAAAACGGAGGGGGCTGGAGGGAGGAGGAGGAGGAGGAGGGCTGGGACGGAGATAAAGGGAAGAGGGTTTGCGGAAAGTGCGGAACTGCGACACTCGTCCTTCCGTACGTACGTACGTACGTACACACACACACACACACACACAATCCTCGCGAAATCTTTCGGACCCGCTGCGAATGGGTCGAGAGATCCCGGAGAACAAATAACATTGTTTATTTGTCGGACGGGTCGCGCGACCGCAGAGCGCTCCAGTTCATTCCTGGGGGATGAGAATGCATGATTCATGACGCGGGGGACACGGGACTGTACTCTCCGATTCCCTCTCCTCTACCACCCATCCTTCTCTCGATTTTCGCTCTCGCTTTTCCTTTCCTCGGGATCGTTCTCCTCTTCTTTTTCTCTCCCCTTTCACGCGTTTTCCTCCCCCCTCCCCCTCCCTGCGTAAACTTTCAGACTTACGCGAATAGATTACACGTGTCGTCGTCGTCGTCGATGTAAATATAAACGAATGGAATTTAATTCCTCGATCGATCGATGTTTACGTTACGTGTCTCTGTTGTGATTCGTTTCGAACGAACACAACGTTTCATTTCGAAGCGAGGAACGGAAGCGAGAACACACGCGCAGGTTTCGTCGATAAATTCCACGTAAGGTGAGGATCTTTTTCATTTTATGCGGTGTTCTCCCGTAAGAATCGTGGGGAGAGTGAGGGCAGCGGGGTGGAAACATACGTGGCAACCCCAAACTTTTTTCCCCGTGCATGCACGTCGGAGAGGGGTTGGCGGCGAAGCAGGGGTCAGTGCCACGACCACGTGGATCTCGTGCAGAAACTATACCCGCCAAGCGAGCGAAAGATTTCCGGGTTCAAAGTCCCGTAGCGTACGTACTTCGTGTCGTTCCCTTCCTGTTGAATTATTATTTCATAGAGCGTGCGAGAAAAGTCGAGTTTCGAATTTCTAATCCCCCCCTCCCCTCTCTCGAATCGTTTTGCATTTTCGAACATTTTCGGAACGTATATTTTTGAGTATCGTGCTACTCGAATTATCCTCGATCGCTTGCACGCAATATTTCATCTTGCGAATCGTCTCGCGTGAAAATATAACACCGCGGTATATCGTGTTTTAATAAATGGAGATAGTACATCTAACTCGTTCCTAAGTGTAATGAGGCATTAAGCAAGGTTTAACATACATAGGGCGACGCCTGACAACCTGATTTTCACTAATGGGGAATAAATTGCTCCCATCGCACGAGCTCATAATTCTGCTCCCCCGTCAGGGGATCGATTAAATTGTAATGTAACTGTCACGAGATACGTCTCGCCAGCAGGAGGAAATCGTCGTTGCTTATTGTTTAACCTCACCTACGTACGTATTATATTACGTACGTTTTATTTCGAAGAATAGGAATAGAAGAATCCGATTCACGAAGAGATTCGACGTGTGGAGGGGGTGGGGGGGAGGAGGGGGCAGAGGTGCACCGGAAGACGCGTGGCTCCAGGGATAATGAGGGGAGGTGGAGGAGGCAGGTCAGCCTTTAAGCGGTGTCCTCTGTCCTCAGGAATTAAACTTTGAGCGGAGCACTGGCCATTAGGCGTTTGTTGTTGTTGTCCCGTTGTCAGGGGAACCCCGTGTCCGTATAGATACTGAAACTGAGATACGACGTTTTGCCCCCCTCCCCCCTCCCCCCCTTTCCAGCCTCTCGAGGGAAGTTTAACCAGGGTGAATGCATCGTGTAAATGTCACTTACGGCCCAAGGGATCTGTACCAGTCAATAACGATCACCGACCGGTGAGACTTGTGTTGTGGACCGCCGATGGTGGCGCCGCTACAGACGCGCGCCGATTAATGTAAACGAGTATTAACTGCTGCTCGTTAACGGTGGCTTCGTTATGGGCAAACCCGGTACTTGATTAGCGTGGCGGAACGTACAATGGTTAATGATTCCATTGAATCCGGTTGACTTTGAGACAGAGATGACTGGACGGATGGATGGGGGGCGGTGTTGGATGGATACCGCGATCAAACTATCATATTTGGAACAATATTTATTTTATTGTCAGTTTGTCATGATCAAAAGAGATCGATAAATTCTCGTTTAATATCTTGTTTATTTTCCATTCTTTGCATTTGCAAACAGGTGGCAAAATAAGGATACACAGAGCAACCGATTATTAATCGATACTTTTAATACTTTTCCCAAGCGCGATTGTCGCGTTTTTCAACCCTTCGCGTTAGTCCATCGTGCTCTTAGTTAATTAACGTAGCAGCCACTTTCCAAATTAACACACATTTCCCATTTCAGTTAAATGAATTACAAAGTGCATCGTAGCACCGTGTCTTGTCGCGATATTATTTCGTTCGTCGCAACGATGCTTAAGAGAGTTTAAATCTCGACGTAAAATACGTCGAATTTTCCTCGATCGTGAATAAGTTCTTTTACCTTTATGGCGGGCGTATGTAATATAATAAGAATTCGTGAGAGAAGGCGGTTAATAGTAACGGTTAAAAATATCTCCACCAAGGTTGAGAATCGGAGCGACGTTGAAACATGGGAGTAGCAACACCCTGGGGCCGCGCCTTTATTTAACGATTTGGTTGGCGGGCGATCACGTGCCGGCCGTTCGACAATTCGTGTCATCGTTGGCCATGTGCACTTAGAAAATCGATTCCCTTGAGAGCCACCACTCAAGATGGATGGTAATAAGTAAATGTGTTTGCTCAGCCCAGAGCGCGCATCACGAGCAATTAATTAAGCTCGATTATCTATGTACACTGCGGGAAGCGAAGTCTTGCTTCTGCCGGATAGATGCTGAGTAATAGCCATATGCTTTGGGGAAATATATATATATATATCGCGTAATCGTATCTCCGTTTGATTCCATTTCGTGGGCTAACGCGTTTCTCGGCACAAAAATGAAACAACAAGGTGGAGGTTGTTCTCGAAACAACGCTCGCAAATAATAATATCGAATAATACGAGCAGAATTTCGTGAATTTTCTTCAATTTTCAGATACGTAAATTTCTATCTTTCTATCTTATTTTATACTTTTATCAGAGCCCACCAACCACTCGATCAACCAAAAAATCGATATCGCTCGGAGGAAGAGCTCGAAAAAATGTGTACGAAACGACGGATTAATCTTCAGGTGGAATTTCAAGCGGGTATAAAATTGAAACTCTTCTCGAACAATTACAAGGCAAAAACCCTCCTCCTCCTCCTTCTCTCGGGGCGCGCGCAATTAAATTAACCATATTTATAGCTCTCCCTCGCTCTTCTCCCTCCCCTCCCCTCGGGATCCCCACCGCCCCGGAATATAACCCAAATTCTTTTCTCTTACAGAGGGAGAGGAGGCATCTACGATTCCTAGAAAGCCGCGCAAAATCCAGATAGGGGATAGGTGGAGGCTGATAACTGCCGAATTGAATGGTGAATGCCGCTTCGGAAATTGAATAAGCTATCGTGTCTGAGCCGAGCCGTCGAGCGAAGCCCTGGTATTTGACCTGGCTGCGTGCAATCAATGTACTGATTGGAGATAAGGGCTCACCCTGTGTGTAGCCCCTGGCATCCTCTCCGCCGCCATGATTTATATACGTACGGTCTTCGTCGGCGATGTATTCATTACTTGATTACCCTTCGGCAAGTTAATACCCGTCGTGACCGTGTAACGAGCCACCGATATCCAGGGATATATACCACCCTCCCACCCCGATTTATGATCGATGCATTCTTCTTTCCATCGTGAAATTTCTCTTCCACCCCGTTTTAATTATCATCCATCCACGTGGATCCGTACGTGGATCGCACGTACTACTACTCTTCCTCCCCCTCCACTTTTCCTCCCGTTTTTGTCTTTTTTCCCCCTCCCCCACCTCCTCTCCTCCTCTTTTTTTTTTCACCTTACCCGTTCGTTTGTTAATTCGATAGCCCGATGGGAGAAGCCGGTGATTGGGTTTGGAATAAAAACTGGCAGGACGAAATATCGATTCGCGGTGTAAGTTGGTATATCGGCGTTTATTAGGGGGAATTTATAAAATTTGATTCATCTTTGTCTATTCTCAACAAGATTATTCCAAGCAAAAAATTTTTTTCAAAAAATGAGGGAGAATAAAAAATAAAAGAAAGAGAGGGGAGAGAAAGAGTTTTAATTAACGAACAATTAGGGTTGAAAGAGATGAGAGAGAAAAAAAAGGAAAAGGAAAAGGAAAAGGAAAATCTATCGAGGATTCACGACGATCCGGAGATTCGTACAGGAATCGGCGAAGGGAGGGATGGATGGCTGGTCTCGAGTTAACTTCGATAATTTGCCGCACGCGTATCCATCCGGAAACCCGGCTCCGCGAAATCTGTACCCGCTAATACGGCTAATTTGTCGACTGCTCCAAAAGCAAATGCACTTCTCCCCGCGCTCGCATCGTCGGATGCCACAGAGGAGGAGGAGGAGGAGGAGGAGGAGGAGCGTAGCGGTTCGGATTGCCTCCTAGCATATTACGTCTAAATGGATTCAAGCCGGGCTAATTGGCGAATTAATTGAAATTCCAAAATGAATCGAATCATTTAAGCGATCGAGTTTCGGCGGTGTTACGCCGCGATTTCCCTCACTACCTCACCTCACCTCCCCCTCCGCTCCTTTCCTTTTTCCAAACGGCCAATCGTTGCTATTTCCGCAACACACCGCCGATCAATAATGAACCGCCGTTATCTATCGAGGAACGATCATGAGAATCATTTCAATCGGAGGATGGACAGGGAGGAGGAGGAGGAGGAGGGTATTGTTCCCATTTGGCGTTGCTCATAATTGCCAAATGAATTTCCACCGGTTGTCAGCCTCCATTTTTTCCACCCCTCCCCCTGGCAAACAACGCGACGTGGAACGATGATGATGATGATAACTCGTACATCGAAACCTAATATAACGCGCACCTGCGTCCTCGATTCGACGCACGCACCCTTTCGTTTCGTGATTATAAAATAGGATTCGCGTTTTATTGGCCTTGGGATTCGATATTCTTCTGGGCGAATATATTTGAATGTTGATCGAACGTGTACATGGATGCAAAGAAAGATCGAAGGAACCGTTTTAATTATGGACGGACGAATTTTACTTTTCTACCTCCTTGCTCGCGCGAAACGATCCGCTGCCGCTGTTTTCACGGGAGGACGCGATTTCGACGTCGAATATTTTTACGCAACCACGCCTCTCCGAGGCACGAAACATCCCCGCTCGCCTGCCTATCCAATTTCTCACTTCTTTTTTTTTTTTTTGTTCGCTTATCCCCGCCCACTCCCCCGATCACTTTTTTCCCTAACACTCTACAAATATTTGAACGCGCCGGCTACAGCCCCGCCGAAAGAGCATTCGAGTCGAGTGAGCTTTCGCGTCCCCAGGCCAATCACCGTTCACCGATTGTAATCTAAGCCAATGCCTGGGCGCGCATTAAATGTCAAACGTTATTCCGTCCCTCTATTTCGTGACGCCGACGGCGACGATGGCCCGGCGTCTGCGTCGATCTACGCGCGCCCCTCGAACGTCGTGGCTTGGAGAACCGCGACACGACGACTTTAACGAACGCTGTGTTCTTCGACGCCGCCTCGTGGAAAATTTGTTCGACTAGATTTCGAAAATCTGTGAAAATGAAACTGGAAACTCGAGCGTGAACGTTACGGTTGGAAGAGAAATTTGCGAGGAAATTTTAGGGATCCCTAGAAATGTAAAAATTACTAGATTCAATTTCGATAGTTTTTTAATCCACCAACATTGCCAACTTTGCCTCGCAACGATATTCGTATCGCAAATGGCGTAATTCGTGATGATATTCTCGCTGAGACGAGAAACAACGTTTCGATCAACCGAATACGTATTCTCGAGTCCAGGCCGATGAGTAAGTTGGAGGGACGGGTGGTCTGGTTTTAGGATTGATGAGCCAAGCAAAGCAACGTGGAGCCATGTGGCGAGCTACATTACCACGGCGTTATGCGCTGGCACATTCACGTGTGCTGCTGCATTAATTGATGTACGTCTCTGCATCAACAGCGAGAGCCAGCCGCCTTCTCGTGAGAACCCGTCATGTGTTCTGTTCAACGTTTCCGATACATACGCGCGCACACATATAGGATGGGCAACGTCAACGTCGAAGGAAGGTCCGATCGACAGGAAGACAGGTAAATGGACGCCACCGATCGAAGGTACATCGTTTATCCGAGATAATTTATTTCTCTCTGGCAACTGGGTCACGTATTACGTAAAAATGAATCTCCCTCTCTTTGTGCTTCGTCGAACGTGTCTGAACGTGTGAATCTCCTCCGTGATTATTTATCGAAGGATAATTCAGAATCGGAAGGATTGGAATTGAAATCATTATCGTTAGAAGAAGAAGAAGAAGAAGAAGAAGAAGAAGAAGAAATCCCTTGAAACGTCACCCTCCACTCATAAATATTTCAACGCACAATTTCCCCTTTAAAACGCGATCTAAATCATTCAGCTTATACTTTCGAACAAGAAAAGGTTGAACAAGAAACAAGAACGAAGGGAAGGACGACGTGTGGAAACCGTTCCAACTCGAAACGATTACGTTTTATCTCTCAACGAGGAGAGGGGAGGAAGAGAAAAAAGACGATAATAGGTGCAACATCGATCGAGGGTCGATTTCAACCTCGTTATCAACGCCGTTTGATAAAGGCACACACACACACGCGCGCACGATCGAGGCGGAACGCAGACACGCCCGCTATCGAGCAGCTGCGTTTCTTCGCGTGCGCCCGCACGTACGCGCGCCTAATGCACTCCGACACGTACGTATGCGTGCACACGTGCGGCCCGCTGCTAAAAGCGGGGCGAGGAGCCGCTATTGTAAACTGTTCCGCGTACCGGGCCTGTACAACATATGGACGGGATAACGCGTAACGTAACGATTGCGCACATGCCGCCAGAAATAACCGCGCGTAAACAGGGAGAAAGAGAAAGAGAGAGAATCTTTTTTTTACGCGCTCTCTCGAAAACAGTGGATCCACGCGTTTCCGCCACGACTTTTATCGCATCATCATCACCACCACCACCACCACCAATCACCGTCCAAGGTGTGTCTTGATCGAAGGAATCTTTTCGAATTTTCCTTTCTTTCCCTCCACTCACTCACCATTTGTAAGTCGTTCCGACGCGACGATACAACTTCCACTATGTGAACCATTGGTGACGACGGCTCTTTTCGAACCTCTTCCAACGAAACTTCGAGAACTATCTTCTCTCTTTTCTATACTCTAGAGATCTATCTTTTCACTCTCTCTCGTCCAATACACGATGAGATGGGGGGGGAGGGCCACCAAGCTTTCGCGAAAAAGCTTGCCCGTTAACACTGCGTTACACTGTGCGCGATGCGCGTACACGAAGAGAGAGAGAGGAGATCGCTGCGACGCGATCACGGCGCAGGACGGCACGGAGCGTGTGTTTAATTCGTCGCGCGTCCGCGCGCCTCCGAGAATCTCCGAAGCGTCGTTATATTGCACGTGTTTCCGCCCGCGATTTTCCACTGCATGAAAGGAGGGAGCGGCCTCGTCCCACTCTCTCTCTTTCTCTCTCTTTCTCCGTTCACCTTCTCCCTCCCTCTCTTTCTCTCTCTCTCTCTCGTTCCACTCGTTCTCGCTCCGATCGCGTATATTCGGACAAAGTGCGCGGGCTTTTCTCTCGATGGACGTATGTATCGGGGTATGTATATGTTGTATAAATGTGTGTGTATCCGTGTGTGTATATACGTGTGCGTCAGAGAAAGAGGGAAAGAGCGCGCGCGACGAGAGTGCAAAGGAGACGGAAGGGACAGAGCTACAGATAAAACCCCGAACGCAGCTCGTCCGCGACTGATTCCCCAGGCCTACACGCACCCTCTAGTTTTCTCCCTTTCATCCCCCACTACCCACCCTCCCGGCCGCCGTCCCCCTCTCTCACTCTCACTCTCTCACTCTCCTCCCTTCCAGCCCCTCCGCGACCCTTTCTCCTTCCGATGCCTCCTCCCCCCCTCCCCCCTCCACCCCCTCTTTGACTCTACGCACCCTCCGAGAGAAAGCCCACGCACCCTCGTGGCAGCCGATATAGCCGCGTCTCTCTCTCTCTCTCTCTTACCTCGCCGTCCAACCCCCCCCTTAACCCAACCACCTCGCCACCAATCTCCTCCTCCTGCTCGCCTCTCTTTTCCCTTTTGCCGCTCTCTCCTCTCTTGTCCTTGTAATTCACCCTCTTCTGTCTTCCTTCTTTCGTGACCGAGGCCTCCCCCCTCCTCTCTCTCTCTTTCTCTCTCTCTCTCTCTGTCTGTCTCTCGCGTCTTATATCGATGAAACCCCATAGCATTTGGCCAATCAAAGAAGGGCGCGAGAGCGGGGACGCTTTCTAGGGACCCCCCTAGACCTTGGTGTCCCCGAAAAAGAAAGAAAACCGGGACACGGGCCGGGCAGGAGGAGGAGGAGGAGGAGGAGGAGGAGAAGGCTTTTGGAAGGTACTGCTAAGGGTCGGGATTCTATCCCTGGAAAAGAGGTATATATATATGTGTGTGTGTGTGTGTGTGTGTGTGTGTATGCGCGCGCGTCGGCGTACACACGAGTGTAGGTCGAAAAGGGAGAGGAGATTCGGAGGGAAGCCGTAATAAGAGAACGTTCTCCTCGTGGCTTGGGTCTTCTTCTTCTTCTTCTTCTTCTTCTTCTTCTTCTTCTTCTTCTTCTTCGACGAGACGAGATGAAATGAATGATATCTATTAGCACGGATAACCGACGAATGACCCGACACCGCGTTACCTCTTTTCCCCGACCGATCTTCTTGTCTCGGAATCTTTTTGGGAAAAATTCGTACGCAATTTTCTCTCCTCCGATCTTTTCCTTCCGATCCCCGGGAGATTGATTAAAGTTTAAAGAGAAAAGAAACGAGAAGGTTACGTCTCGAAGATTATTGAAATTTTCCCCGGTTGATGGAGCGGAGCGCGTGCAAGGAGATAAACGCGGGGATCGGGGCGCAACTCTCTCCCTGAAGGAAAAGGGAGGGAGGGAGAGGAGGGGGGGGTGGTGGTGGAAATATAAAAGCACGCGAACGGAGAGGAAGAACGCGAAAGGACCTGCAGTTAACCTCTCCACTTCCTCTCCCGCCCTTCGGCCGGGGATTTGTTGGTCCAGAAGGACCACTCGTACGTACATTCGCAAAACTCTCCACCGACTTCTCTCCTCTCCTACCCCTTTTTCTCCGCCCTCTCTCGGCCAACCTCCTCTCCCGTAGCTCGCGTTTTTAAAGGGCGCACAAAAGCCACCGGAATTGCTCCCGGCTCTTCCGACGTTACGGACGTTCCACGCCTGTCTTTCTCTTCCCTTTCCAGCTTCCCATCCTCCTTCCACTTCTCTCTCTCTCTCTCTCTCTCTGTGTTTCTTTTCCTCCCTCTCCTCTCCTCTCTCTCCTCTTTTTTTTCCGTCATCGACGATTCTCACGAGTGGGTATCTAGCGAGGCGGCAACAGTTCCGATAATGGCAGATTTTTGGATAGCGACTCGACTCGAGAAGACGAAATAATATCTCGGAAGAAGAATCGTTCGGTTCGAGGATTGATCGAGATTTCGAAATTTAATTTTCCAAATCTATCTCTCGTTTCCTCCGTGCAAATTGCCTGTACCAACAGAAAGATATCAACGAGACGCGAGACATCTTTCCGTGACCGTTGACAAAATATTTACCCGTGGAGGAGGAGAAGGAGGAGGAGGAGGAGGAAGAGGAGGGGGGAGATGGGAAATAGGCAGAGAAAAGAAGGGGAGGGGAGGGCCAAGTGAAAGTTGGGAAAGGAAGGAAGGAAGGAAAACTTGAACGAACGAAGCAGGCGTTCAGGTTGCTTTTTGATGACTTCGGGCAACTTCATCCTGGCCGAGATGAGGGCCTAAAAAGAGACTTTGAAACTTAAATGTTGATATGGAAAGTAAGAGATCTGGGGCGTTGTAGATTAAACGATCAATCCCCCTCGGGGATTGGAGGACGATTTTCGGAGAACCGCGAAACACGAAGAAAACGTTTCATCATCTTCCCCTCAAGTGACGTAATAATAATAATAATAATAATAATAATCCTCTGCATATCAAGAGTTTCATCGAAACGTTTCTCTCACTTCGCCACCCTGAATAATCGAAACGATCGAGCCTCGAACCGAAAGGTTAAATCGTCAACAATCCGCCTTTATATATTAATTTAATAAAAGTGGATCGTAAAAGTGGATAGAAGGGAAGATTACCGATTCAATCGATGCTTCGTCCATCCATCACCCTCGAGCTGAAAATATCGACCGACTTCTTTATTTGGGTATTAACGATGTTTCGAAAGACGTGCACGATCGAACGAAGTTTTTGACGAGTGATCGATACGTAATGCACATGCATCCGTGGGAGGAATACGTGGCCGTACGAAAAGAGAGAGAGAGAGAGAGAGAGAGAGAGAGGAGGAGGAGACTAATTAACGTAATTAACTAAGAAGGAAGGAAGTAATTAATTATATTA